TAAAAAGCGTCTGCATCACAAGAGAAACCACCAACAGAGCTAAGAGACAACTCACAATGTGCGAAAACATCTTTACTAGCTGTTCCTCAGACAAAGGTCTACTATCTAGAATATATAAAGAACTCAAAAAAATAAGACCCCCCCCATCTATAAAGACCCAATTCAAACATGGACAGACATTTCTCTGACAAAATGAACAGACATTTCTCAAAGAAGTGAAAGCCACAAATAATCACATGAAAAAATGTTTAACATCACTGGTCATTTGAGAGGTACAGATAAAAACAACACTTGAGATTACACCTCACCCCAGAAAGAATGGCTGCTATCAAGAAATCAACCAATAGCTAGGCGTGGTGGCACACACCTGTAATCCCAGCACTCAGGAGGCTGAGGCAGGAGGATCACTGTGAGTTTGAGACCAGTCTGGGCTACATAGTGAGTTCCAAGTCAGTCTCAACTACATAGGGAGACCCTGTCTCAAAAACCTAAAAGGAAAGAAAAGCAGTAAAAAATGCTGGTGGGGTTGTGGGGAGATAGGAACCCTTCTTCATTGTTGGTTGAAGTGCAGCCTGGTGCAACGACTGTGGAAATCAATATGGAGATACCTCAAACAACTAGGATTAGAATCCCTATTTGACCCAGCTGTTCCTCTGCTGTGTATCTTCCCAAATGAATTAAAAGAATCATACCACAGCAATACATGCTCATCCATGTTTATAGTGGCACAGTTTGTAATAGTGAAAACTTGGAAACAGCCCATTTGCCCATCAACTGGAGACTGGATAAAGAAGATGTGTTTTTATTTATTTATTTATTCATTTTTATAAAATGGAGTACTACTCAGCCACAAAGAATGAGAAACTAGAGAAATTTATAGCTAAGTGGATGCACATTGAGGGCACTCTTAAGTGAAATTAGTAAGTCACACATGTGTAAATACCAAATAGTTTCTCTAGTGTGAAAAAGTGTAAATACGGATCAAAATGTATGAGGGGTAGGGGAAAGGTAAAAAGAGAAAAGAAAAAATACGTGAAAAGAAAAAATATGTGAAAAGGAAAATCATGGAAACAATGTCTTTGTAAACAGGGAAGGGTGGAGGGGCTGAGGGGGGGTGCTGGGGATTGGGGAAAAATAAGAACCAAGATAAATCATGTAAAGGTACACAGTCCCAATGATGAACGTAACTGTATTGCAAATTTAAATTATACCAATAAATTTAATAAAGATAAAAAACTATTGAACTTTGATTGTAGGTATAGAAACACAAGTAAGGCTTATCCTCTCTTTAAATTAAGGTTGCTGCTTCTCATTGGCCCAGATCTTGCTTGTCTTACTGGGATACTGTCTGCGAATGAATATCTGTGCAACTCCTAAACATGAAAGATTTGTCGGAAAACAACAACAGCAGCAAAACAATAGTGGTGCCCTGATAAGGCTGTTGTGAGGATTAAATGGATGACAATGGAAAGTCATATGGGGAAAACAAGGCCTGTTTTATAATAAGGACTAGGTAAATTTCATTGTTTTGTTTTTGTGGTACTGGAAATTGAACCCAGGCCCTCACATTGGCCCATATCCTCAGGATTTTTTTTTTTTTTTTTTTTA